TGGGGAAAGGCTGGGAGAGCTATCTAGGGGTGGAAAAGACATCTTCAAAATGTCATACTGTTTTCTGGGTGGTAATTTTGCAGTTAATTGTTATTTTTATTCCTAGTTTTCAATATTTCCATTTGTCACTAAGCACATATTACTTTTATTATCAACAACTTCAATGTGAATTACATATAAGAAGATAATGCTAAAGATTATGAAACACATTATTCTAGTGACCAAATGAGCTTTCTGTATCATCTGTATATCTGCAAAACCTGATCTTTGGTCATTCCATTTTTCCAATTTCAGAAAAAAATGCATGCTGGAAAATGAATGTGAGTAGAAAAAGAGAAATCATTCCAGAATACTCAGTAGTTTTGCAAATGCTGGCAAAACACATAGCCCAGACTCTATGTTTCTAATGTAATTACTAGGTTCAAAATCTATAGCCCCAAATTATAAATGTATTATTCAATAAATTGAACCCTTTCCTTAGCAATGAATATGTTGTTCTTGTATAAGGTGCGTCCTGAAATGTTCAGGAATATTATTATCACTTCAAGACTGTTATTTATTAATACACGTATTGCAGGTGACTATGACTTGCTGATGTGAATAGATGATTGTAATGACTAGGTGGTTTTATTTTTTATAATCTGCTTTTGCACAGATTTGGATATGTTTATATTTAACTTCAATAGTAAAAACACCATTGTATCGTAGGTTATGTATAAAATGCGGGGATTGAACTACATAGCCTCTAAAGTTACTCCTAGTTTTGAATTCTATTGTAAAATTAAACAAATATTATAATTCATTAGTCAAGTCACAGTGCTGTTTCTCTGTGCGTATGTATATTTACCCAAAGAATATACTGTTTTAACCATACGCATCCATTTTCTGCCGAATATTCTGGCACATTAGAAAGAAGCACTGTGTTTATACGGAAAGGAAATGAAAACTGATCTACAGAGTGGCATCACTGTCCACAAGTGTTCATTATCATCTGGGAAACTGATTCTTTTTCCAATTAATGTCTAGTTCAGCAGCAGTTTGTAAGAGTGGGGTTTTGCATATAATTGTTTCATTTGTTTAATTTTAACATTTATTCTTTAAATAAAAGAGCCCTGCTGTGTTAGTTATCCAAATAAAGACAACGTTTTACTTTATCTCTAATTAACAGTAATTAATTCTTAGATGAAATAAAATAAATTAAAATTATATATGCAAAAGATTTAAAAGCTGAAAATCCTGATACAAATGTAAATGTAAATTAGTATTATGATCAATAATAGTAATCATAAAATGTCTTAATTTTTAAATAATGGCAGTTGAATTTAAGTTATAGATTTTCAATCTATTTAAGATCACACAATTCTCAATGTTACACAATTTTGTAGGTTTTTTTCTATCGATTCTCAAATGACTGGATGCAAATAAATTAATCTAAAAATTAGGTTACTTAAAAAATTAGATTAACTATTAGGCACTTTTCAATATGCCATGGGGAAAAAAGTAAGCAAAATCTGCCATTTTATGAAAATATCTACCTATAATCTATTTAAAAAAATTCTTGTCAATGCATGCATTAATTCTCTATATTCTTTATAGTTCATTTAGATGTAATATATCTATATATGCAATATCTATATTGACTTCTTTATTTAAAAAAATTTGTTTGGAATGATTACAAAATATATATATTTTTTCTCTCTTTCTCTCAGCTCTTCCAGGCAGTTCTTTCATTAATTAAATAAATTTGCATGGAGGCTATCAAACAAATAAAACAGAAAGGGAGTCTATGATATGCCTACTAGCAGGCAGGACATAAGAATGTCTATCACTCCCACTTGCACTTTTTTTCAGATAATGTTGGGTTAATTTTCACAAATTATAGTGAAGTAATTTAAATATTTACATTTACAACACCACACACACACATATGCATTGATAGCATCACAATCAACATCAGTGGTTAAAATAAGAATTCAAAGTATCCAAATGGCCTGATAATTACCTAAACTGCTAAATTTGAATTTGCATGCTTTTTTAACATTAAGTGTAAACATGAAGAAAATAGAAACACAGAATTTAAAAATAATTGATTCATATGCTGACACTCACACCATCCTAATTTTCTTCTTCATAGACTCTTGAGCCTCAATTACTTTCTGATGTCTGTGCTTTGATCACCGTAAATCGATTCTTTGCTTTTTTAAAAACTAAGTATTTTACTCATGTGTGCTTCTGCCATAGACTGTATTCACTTGGTGGTTGCTCCTTGGAATGAAAGTTTCCTAGTGCTACATTCTTTCTTAAGAATAATATGTAAAATTCAAAACATTAAGATTAAATATCAAATCATTGGAACCTAGATTTTCTGAATCGAGGTCAAAATGTAATCTCATTCATATTTTTCTCAAAATGCACAATCACTTTCTAAATATAACCAAATCTCTCAGAAATATTCATGTTTTCTTACAAGACCCTGGAGAAATGATAACAAAAATAAAGAAGTCATCAAAAAGGACTTCAAAGACTACAAGTTGATTGATTTAGTGCACATTTATGTCTCATCACCACTGCGTAATGACAACTTTTTTCCCCAGGTAAAATGATTCTGGAGTTAGGTGAAACAACGAACGGGTTAAGAGCCACAAAGTTAAAGCTAACTCACAAAGCGGTGAAAGCGGCAGTGTGGAGCGGAGTCCGCTCAGGCAGTGCAGACCATACTCAACCACCTCAAAGCCTGCCCCGGCACAACAGCAACAAACTTTAGCAGGAATGTGCAGGGGAAAGGATTTGTCTGACAAGAGAAAGACTTCCATGCCAGGAGCCAAATACCACTAACTCCCCAAGGCTTAAGCCTACGAAACGCCAAATGATTACTGTGCATATGTGGAAACTTTTTTCCTAAGGAAACAAAAGTATTTTAATGAATCATTGGAGTCATTGGATATTTAGAAACAGCTTTTTAAAAAATTTCTACTGGCTATCTTCTTTAAATACAATGATTCTTTTATGTTCAAAAACATGATTGGAGCCTCTAAGAAGGAACCACTAGCCCAAGGTAAATGTTTGAAAATCATACAGTCCATAAAAGCAGCACGTTGCTCTTTGACCACATATTTTTTAACTTACTTGGATAACAGATTTTTAAAAAAATATCTCAGAGAGACAAAGTTTTGGTGCTTAGCCTAATGGAGGAAGATAGATCAGTTTATGAGAATTTGGGTCAAATTAAGGAAGATATGCCACAGACCTTTTATATATCTTATTTCACATAGCCATACTCTAACATGCAAGTATTTTGTCAGGATGAGTATTCCCAATTAACATATGCAAAAACTAATTTATTTGGCCAGGATCACCTAACTAGTATGTGGCAGAGATGGGATTAGAACCTATTTCTCTCTGTCTACAAAGCATGTGCCAAGAAAATAGACTATAAAAAATGAGTCTCTGTATGATATCTTAACTGAATAAACAAGCCCATAGTCAGCATGGCAACACACGCTTAGATAGCCTAAAGTTATTCATAACATTAAAAAAATTAGAAATAAAAAGATAAATCAGTGGTATGGATATGAAGTAATGCTGTGCTTTTAAAAATATATGTAATTCTAGATTAAACTGAACTTCTACTCCTAAAAGTATATTGTCTCTTTGGCAAATAGATACATAATACAATTGCCTACAATTTTTCTGGAAAACCTGTTTTGGAAATGTGAGCAGAGCCAAATTGTGAGACATGGTCACACATCAAGATTTTTTTTTAAAAATTTTCTTAACAGTAGACCTCTCTATAAACCAAAAATAATATTACTTAACACAATGAACTAATTCTGAGCACACTTGCCTCTAAACGATTTCAGCCATTATCAAAAAATCAAGCCTACCCCTTCCAAGGACGAAAAATTTTTAGTTTTGATGATGTTCAAAAAAATGTGCCACAAGCTTAGAGGCAATTGAGAATTTGCATTCCCAAAATGTTTTAAGCAATGATCACATCATAAGGGTATGTCTTCTCTCTCAAACCAACTATTAAATACT